CTATCTCGAGCAGTAATGTAGTTACTTAACCAACAGCTCTCCTCCACCCCTCCGCCCCTCTCCCCCCTCCCTCCCTACCAGTTATCATCCTAAAGAAAACTAACAAAAAAACACCTATACGAAAGCGTAGAAGCAGCCAACCACTACCAAAACCCCAGAAACAACTGATTACAAACCAAACTTCCCCTCGCCCCAAAAGTTGCACTCCTGATACCCACCACAGACTGTGGTGAAACAACCCTCATCCCACGATGGACAGCTGTTGTCGTGCAATTCGAAGCTCTATTCCCACCCCACGCTGCCCGATGGTTACACGAACGATCAGGCTATGTTACACGAAAATTTTCTCGGCGTTACGTGAATTCGGTGTGAAAGTAGCTCACCAATACAAGTAATTTACGGAAAATGCTCATGTACTGCACAAGAAAACGGTCGTTATTTGTATAAGTGGGTGTGCACCGCTGGGAAATGCGTGTTACTCGAGCACTGCACGAGCAACACTAGGTATTTACTTCTATCAGCTGGCATTACACGAACTTTGCTGACATATTACCTGTAATCAGATTTTCTCGTGAACATAGCACCATTATCGCTTCCGTTTATGCGCTGTGTATTGTATAGAATCAAAATAAGTGCACTACAAGAGAGAAATCTCCATAACAGATGTTTATTTTCTTTAATGCGTATGGAGCGGTATACCAGATGCCGATAACTTAATGACAACATCGCTTCTCTATCCCCACTCGGTACACTGTATGAGCAACAAAGGTGCAAGCAAAGGAACGAATAAATGCTCCAATGATGACGCACAGGATATTGGTGGGATTTTATCTTTACAGATGAACACCTATCTTTACTTTCAGGATTTACGGGAAAGTGCACATCTCATCGTATTCATTTCGAAGACTTAGATGATCAACCGTCAAATGAATCAGAATCAACCGTCTAAAAACAGTGGGCGCTTGTAGACCCCATATAATACCACTGCAATTCAGCTTCTATCGTTTTTAGAAAACCATCATTGCCCTGGTGATATCAAAAATTCAGTGATGCAAAATGCACTTACTGTGTTACAACAGACATACTTTACACTTACATCAGTTTATTTTAAAATCAGCCAATAAATTTCAAGGAGCGCAGAGTTAAGTGCTTTTAAATTCCACAAAACATTCAGCGATTACTGGGGATTTATGAAACAGTCGTGCAATCCTAACTTCATTACAGCAGTGCAACAACACTCACCAAAACAATTTAACAAACAGAACAAAACCAAATAATAAGAAACAAGAAGCAAAATTTGTAGACACATTTCTCCAGTCTGCAAATAACGGTAGTTTCGGATTCAAGCAACAATACCTGGGCTGCGCATCAACGACACACTAGAGAAACGCAATACCGCTCGAAATAAAAACAACATTTAACGCAGAATTTCCAACACCAAAATGCTTAAATGAACAGATTCGCCTTTCGAAATCCTTAATAATAATGCTTCACCAGCAACGAAACATTAACACAGCTTCTCTGTTCAGCTACTCAGCGAAACACGTTCACGCACCTTCCATGTTTTCCTGCAGGCCTTCTTCCTTCTTGTCATTTTCAACCACAACACTGGGCAATTCGTTCGAGTTCAAATCCATATGAACAGCTGAAGAAAAAATAAAAGAATTATATCATATATCGGAATTATATCATTACTCCGGAAGTTTAATGTAAAAAAAAAAAAAAAAAAAACAAATAAAAATTATCTGCTTGTGTCATGTCTTTGGGAGCTGGAAAAAGAAACAGGGAATACTTATTTTTTACATCCTAGAGACCCTACACACTACAAGAAACAGCATCACACACTCACACACACAGCAGTCAGATTGCTTTATCGCGGGCAAATGCACAACACGCCGTAACTGGAGCACTGCCAGTCTATGAATATCGGACTAGTAGGTACAAAGTCAATGCCACAGGAAAACTCAAAATGAACGCACAGAGCTCTGATGAGGCGCTGATCGAATCGCTGAGTTCGGAGCACGAGCCAATTATGCTGTAAACAGAAGTCCTCGATACAAGGTGTGCGAAGATCTCGTGGGTAATGAGCTGACATCCTATTAGTTTCGCGCTATCGTGACCTTACATGTTGCTGGTCGAACTAGTGTGCGTACCGTACATGTTTATAAGTGTGCATGTGTAGCTAACACCTAGTTATGAATATACATATATATTTATAATTGCATAAACAAACCATAGCTGTACAAAGCAAATGAAACAGAACAGGAGCAGGAGAAATAAAAAAAAAAAAAGGTAGACAGGCTTTGAGGAGCTGAATTTCCCCAGAACAAGGGTGTTTGAGGAGCAAAAACACTAGATGCTGGAGCTGGGGAAGAGTGTTTTTGCACCCGGATGACTACAGATCAAAGAGATTGCATAACTCTAAAAGAAGTGGGGGTGTTCAAAGATTAAACGGGAAACCGCGGGTGTTACATTATAATAACGTAGTGGCTCTTAATGGGCAACTACTAAAACACGGTTCGGCTCGGCTGTTACTCTGCATCTCCGCTAACGCTATTTCGCGGCGAGTCTTGGTGCTATTTGGATAGTTTGCCACGTGTGCTGGGTAGCGAT